AAACAAAACAGAAAAGCTGTGGTTATTTTCTTGGAAAAAGCATGTATTTTACAATATAAAATTGTAAAATAGAGTGTATGAAAACATACCAATATTTATATTTTATATATGCATGTATGGAGAATAATTAAGTTTGTCTCCCTGCCATATGCAAAATTCACACTGCTGTATGACTGCAGTTTATATCACTGAATACATAAATATACTCTGGAGTTAATGGAAAAGTAGCATTAGATTGTCCTTATTCAAGATTATAGGCATTGAATGACATCTGCAATATTTCTGACTCCATGGGTATTCCAATGTATTTCAACGGATAAATGTATCCCACATCCACAGGACTGTTTATGGTTATAGAACAAAAATTATTCCACAGTTCCCAAATGCACAGAGTCAGAAAACACAAAATCCCAAAATGAGGCAGAACATTTGTTCTGAAGAGCTAACATAGTTCCTTTCATTCTAGGAGGAGAAGGAAGGAAGGAAGGAAGGAAGGAAGGAAGGAAGGAAGGAAGGAAGGAAGGAAGGAAGGAAGGAAGGAAGGAAGGTCAGGCTTACAACCCCATAACTGTTTTGCTATCCATGTTTACAACTGTAGCACCACTGACATGATAGCAAATACCCTCCTCCCCATCCCACCATAAAATCCAGGCTGTGGTTTGATGAGCTACAACAGAATCCCACAAAAGTTCCTACTTCTGCTCACTGCAATACCACTTACTGACAGGGCAGGAAGGTACAGGAGACCAGAACCACAGGACTCCATCTGTTGGTATGGCTGCCTGGATCTGAAGGTAGGTTTAAGGTGTCTGATTAGATAGCATAGCCTACCCACATACATAGGGAAGAGATAAAAACCTGAAAGAAAACAGTTGTTTAATGCTGGGATGACCTAGCATTAATGGTATTGTGGGGGTAATTTCAAACCCAATAGCAAGTTTGATTCTGCTGAGGGAAATGTCTCTGTGGCATTCACTATGCAGACAACAAAAACATGTCACAGGGATATGTCAGTGAATCCTGCTAAGAATATGGTATACCATATGAAGGTTTTCTTATATCAGGGGTAGGCAACCTTTCCCCTTTAAGGGCCGAGGGACTTCAGCTCCCAGAATCCCAGGAGCTATTGGCCAACATGGGACTATTGGCCAACATGGCTGAGGCTTCTGGGAGCTGAAGTCCCTCGGCCCTTAAAGGGGAAAGATTGCCTACCCCTGTCTTATATGCTGCCCTACTGTAGAAGTAAGGGGAGATGAATGGTTCCAATGTACTTTCAGCCTTTAGTCAGCAGACCTTCTGCCAGTTCTAAGCTAGTGGAGAAAAATATTGCCTTACCACATTTCATTCATTGTGGAAATATGGCTTGACTAATGTCACCACATTGTATTTAAGCTGGACTCCCTATAGTGTACTAAGCTGCCCGCCAAGTTAAACATATCAAATCAGAAGATATGCTGTCTTAATTTACCATGCTTTTATTCCATATTTTACAGTTTTATCTGGCTAATATTGCCAGAATTGTCTGTTAATTCTGAACTCAATCAGCTGTTCATCAATAATTAGACCTACCCCTGTATATATAATGTTCAAAACTGCTTAGAAAACACAATTTACATATCTTGAAAGGAAGCTTAGTGCCAACAAATCATGATGAGAAGAATGCTAGACTGACAAGAATCTTTTCAGTTTGGGACTTAGTCCGTACAAAATTTGTACATGCTTGTTTCCAGCAGAAAACAGAATTTTCTGTGCAGGAAATAGAATTTTCTGAACAAAAAAAATTTGCTATTTCTATGCATAATAATAATAATAATAATAATAATAATAATAATAATAATAATAATTTATGTGCAGAAAATGTTGGTTTCTATGTAATACAACCAAGTTCAAATTTAGCACAGAATAAGCCCCCAATTACAGTATACTAATAATTTGGTTTAAATACCAAGCTTTCCACTATTATTGAAATACAATAACTTAAACTGAAAAGGCAATAGTCTTTACACTGGTAAGTAACTGTACAGCCTAGAAGCTGTGCTACTTAGATGATTTGATCTCCATATTGCAACTTCCACAGAAAAGTGCAAGAAACATCATTATGAAGAAACATTATTTTCTCTGGAAAAAGAGCTATCCTTCCACCAGTTTATTATTGAGCACTCTTGCTGGGTTCTCTGCCACATACTTTGCCCTAATGCATTACATGGGAAGAGTTCCTCAATGGCAAATGCAATATACAATAACTTTGTTGTCCAAGCTGATTTTTTTTTTTTTTTACCATTTAGCAAAAACTCTTTCCATGGCAGGAGGCTGAAATTTTGGTGAGAATGTCATAAAATGCCTTCCTTGCAGATCTACATCTGTGTGACTCCTGCAATAAAAGTTATTCTTGCACACTAAAGTATCCTTTGTGGTAGTATACACCTCCAGAAGAGTGGGATTACAATATACTAATATGGGTTCATCTTAGGGTTGTCATAAATCGGAAATGACTGAAGACATACAACAACAACAAGCAACAGCAACAGCAGTAACAGAATTAGGCCAGGAATAAATAAATGAATTTCAGTAGATTTTTTTTTTCATTGAAAGGGGGAAAAATAAAATACACAAATACAGTCTTACAACTGGCTTGATGACAGTATATGTGATAGGTAACTACTGTTTTTAGAAAGCCACAAGCTAAACACAAGTCAACAGTGAAATGTGGTGCCTACAAATGCTAATGTAACTGTAGATTGTTATCAAGAGAAGTATAGCCCAGAACATGAGAATCAATGGTAACACTCAATAATTCTCAGTGGTATTACTCAATAATGATAACATTGATGTTAAATCCATGTCCCTCTAGGCCTAAAGTCAACCTCTTGGTTAGTTTCACTTGGGCATATTTAAATAGATTTTCTAGAGTTGACATGACAATTTATCTGAGAAAATGAGGTGCCTGTTTTATTTACTCATCACCTGGAAGTTTATTTTGAGACCGAACTGTGAGATGCAATTAAGACCCATCTTTGTTAAACTCATTCCTTAATCCAGGGATGAGGAGTATATAACATTCCAAATGCAGTTGGACTCCCATCCACCTAGCTATTGGTAAGGAAATGCAGTATAACAATATCTCTGGAGAGTTAAAAGTTCCCCAACCCTGCTTTAATCACTAACCATTATAGGATTATTTGCATGTGGATTTTGAAATGTGCTATTAGTGTTTTGCAATTAGTTTTAGTAATACCATCCATTGGATGCCCCAGCAAAACTTTGCTGTTTACACAGAAGTTAAATTCATCTTTGGATTTAAATATTAATTTCAGAATAGTTAAGAACTGAAATATAGTAGATGACATATTTTGCATAGCTAAGAGAATGCTTAATTCATCTAGATAATGCATTATGGTTGGTCAAAAATTATATTAAATCTCTTTCTCTATCTTGTTTTTCCTACATTTAAAACATTACAAGATATAATGTGATTATATTAAAATATTACATTGTAAACTTTTTATTCATTTATTCATATATTTTGTCTAACAATTTATAACTCAGTAAGAGCTTCAGCAATGATCCTGCACACTATTAAAGTGCTGAACTCCCATTGGTTTAAATTGGATGTAAGCAGTCTGAGAGCTGGATTGCAGCCTTTGTGTGATTTCAAAAGCTGCTGTTGTCGCTCTGCTCATCAGAATTCTGTAGGGCAAGCCTTTTTCTCTATTCATTTATCTATGTCTCTCATTTTTGACTAACTTGATAAAGAGGCACACAGAATGGGCCCAGTTAATGGACACAGTGGGTCAAATTCTGCCCTCATATACAAGGTCTGGGCTCATCTCCCATTGAATTTGTAATAGAGGTTATACTTGTGTATTTGAAAGTGGAATTTAACTTAGTATATGTTAAGGGAGAGCATCTAATTAGGTATTGCTTGTACAGTTTTTGCCTTGGAAAATAATTGAAAGGCTTTCTATAAATACTCCAAAGAATGCATTTGGAAATGCCATTCCAGATGAGGCAGAAAGAAAAACGGAACACACTAATAATTTGGTTTAAAGACCAAGGTTGCCACTTTTATTGAAATACAATAGCTTAAACTGAAGTGTTACTCAACAAGCCAATAGTCCTTAGAGTAGTAAGTAATCATACAGCTTAAACTGAAGTGTTACTCAACAAGCCAATAGTCCTTAGAATAGTAAGTAATCATACAGCATTGCTAATGTATCCTGCATCCTGAGAAGATGTGATCTCCATACTGCAACCTCCAAATTGTTTCAGATTTAAACAAGGATGAATGTTCCCTTGGGACACTGATTTAGAGGAAAAAGTGGCAAAGCACTGCTTTGTTCTTTCTGTGGCTGTCATGAAACTAGTGTTAAATACTGAGTGAAGAGGGACTTTTTTACATAAAGGAGGCATTCCTTACACAAAAATATCAACATTAATCAGCAATTTTTTGGCAAATCTGACTGATAGTTTAAGATTACATAGTAGATTAGGTATAGGTCTTTTCTCTCATCTCCCCACTACATTTGTCATTCTATTTATACAGAAAGAATGCCAAACAGCACAATCCTACTGTATGCATGTCTAGTGAGAAGCAAATTCTACTGTTTTTACTGTGGCTTACTCCTGAGTAAGTGTGTATAGAACTGCAGCTTTAGTGTGGTCCCCACTTTTCTTAGAAATGTGGTATGGCTATCATGCCTAGGCCAAGAAGCAGTTGAAAGACTCTCCATCTAGCTGCCAGTGTCCTGGCCTTGGGGAGAGAAAAGAAAAAGCTGGCACAGCTTTATCATGCCTAGGTCTAGAAGCACACGAAAGACCCTCCCTCCATCTATCCCAATTGCCACTGCCCTGGCTTTCGATGAAGATGATGTATTTGCTAGACCTAATTCTCTCTTGAACTGCCATCTCCTTTTTCTTTTGTGTGATGTCTTAATTAGATTGTATGCCTAAGGACAGGCAACTGTTTTACTGTAAAGCATCAGTACAATATACAGTGGTGAGCCAGAGTGGCATAGTGGTTTGATTGCTGGGCTGTGATTCTGGAGACCAGGGTTCAAATCCCAGGTTGGCCATGAAGCCCATTAGGTGAACTTGAGCAAATCACACTCTCTCAGTCTCAGAGGATGGCAGTGGCAAACCCCTCTGAAGAATCTGGCCACGAACACCCTATGATAGGTGATGACACTATATTAATACCTGTAAAGTAATACCACAACCAAGAACAATAATACAGTGGGCCCTTGGTATCTTCTAAGGCAGGGGTAGGCAACCTAAGGCCCGGGAGCTGGATGTGGCCCCCCGAGGCCTTTGGACCGGCCCCAGGCCAGTCCTGCCACCACCGCCGCTGCCACCGCCTGCCATGATGATATTGATTATTGTTGTTATTACTTGTTCTTGGGGTTTTCTTGGCAAAATCTCCACAGAGGGTTTGCCATGGCTTTTCTGGGGCTGAGAGAGTGTGCATGTATATTTTTTAATTTTTTGAAAACATTTTTATTTTTATATTTATTTATTTATTTAATTATTTTTGGTGCTTCAGCCTCCCAATTGTCTGAGGGACAGCAACCTGGCCCCCGGCTCAAAAAGTTTGCCTACCCCTGTTCTAGGGTTTGGTTCCATGACACCCCCACCACTATGGATACCAAAATCTGTGGATGCTGAAGTTGCATTGTATACAATGGCATAGTAAAATGGTATCCCTTATATATAATGACAAAATCAAGATTTATGTTTTGGATTGGGGATATTTTTAAGCCATAGATGCAGAATCCATGGATACTGGGGGGCGACTGTAATAATAATAATATGGTGAATAACAGAATTGTCCTCAGGGATTCTTTTAGTTAGTTAGTTTGTTCGTTGTTTAATTTATATGCCAGGGACCAAGACAGCTCACAGATAAAATAGTTTAAAAACTTTACAATAAACATTTTAAAAAACAATTAAAATCATCATGCTAAAGCCATATAAAATCACATAAAACATACATAGTTAAAAACATAAATAGAGCACACATCCCATATAGAAACCTCCCCGACAATGATTATATTTTAAAAGGCCACTAAAAACATTTTTGCCTGCTGGCAAAAGGAAAGCAGGAATGGGGCCAGCCTAGCCTCCTATGAAAAGGAGTTCCAGAGGGTGGGAACAGCCTCTGAGAAGGCTATCTCTCATGTCTTCACTAAATTTGTGTTCTCACCAAGTGAACTGTGATGATGGCAAGACCAAGGTGACATTCCAATAATCATATTTGTTATAACCAAGAGCATCTTGTGGACTGATACTTGAGAGTGGGCTACCTGCATTGTGTTAGGATGAGGGTGTCCTCCATTCAATCCATGAACTTCCAGTGGTTGCAATGCATGGTACATGGCTATTATAAGGAGAAATGAGAATTTAAAGAGAATTTGTATACAAATTGATTTTATTTTACTTGTATTTTCTGCCAGCACAGGATAAATGGTTGCTTACAATTGAGACTGTAATACAACTAAATACAAAATACAACTAAAAAGGTCATGGTAGTAAAAAACAACAACACCAAAAATGATTCAATGGCAATTAAATAAACTTGCTATTATTTGTCTTTAAATCATTTTTGACTTATGGCAACCCTAAGGTGCATGTATCACTTGCTAAGATTTTTAAACTATTAGTACTGAATTAAAAACAGTTTATATGCTTTTAAAACATAATAAATGAGAAAAAATTAACATCATTGCGTCTGCACAAAAGGACACCAACACAATTGGTATGGATGAA